CAATCGACAATTCATTCCATTCCTTCAGCAGATCAAGCTTCAAGCTATTGATACTCTTGTGTGGCTTGCAGCAGACCTTGGCCTGCAAGTAGGACCACACACTGTAATCCAATGGATTCAAATCAGGACTACTAGCAGGCCATTCTTCTGGGGAAATTAAGTCTGGAAAGTGAGTTCTGCAGAAGTCGATGGTGGATTTTGCCTTGTGAGCTGGTGCTGAGTCCTGCTGGAATGTCCAAGACTGGGATTTGAAATGTTCCTGAGTCCAGGGGAGTAGACCTTCAACGCACTCTTGTTAGTAACTGGCATTGATCTTTGCCTGAGGCTGCACAAAATGCAGGGGAGTTTTGCCAGAAGCACAAACACCACCCCACACCATCACACTGCCTGGTTTTTGAACTCGATGGACATATCGCTGGTGAGACTTGAAAGAGGAAAGCTTTTTACCCCAGAGGCGATTGTTTTGGGGGTTGTAAGCTTGCTCTACAGTGAAAATTTGTTTATCAGAAAAAAAAAAACAATCCTTTGGAGTGAGGACTGGTTAAACCGTTTGAGCAACTGGAGGGACCTTTGAACTTGTTTCTTCTTGTTGATCTCTGCAAGCAGCTGCACTTTTGTTTTTTAAAAGGCTTCATGCGGAGCTTTCCTCTGATGTATCTTCGCAAGATCTCTTTGTCCACTCTCAAGGTTTGCGCAAGCTTTCTTCCAGAATGCTCTGGTATAGCATTTGCCTGACTCGTTTCTGGAGCTGCTTATCCTCGAACACGGAAGGACGTCCACTTCTTTGGCGATCTGCTGCTGATCCAAGCTCATTGTATCGCCGAATAATGCTGTTATAATAATGCTGTAGATCGAGGGGTTTTGGTGAGATTTCAGATCCTGCTTGCTGGAAGACCACTCTGGTTTTGAAAAATCACTGCTTCTCTTTGATGTTTGGGAACCATATCAAGAGCTTTCGACCTGGAACTTGGAAGGCAAATAGATCTGTAGTAGATGTTGCTTCACTCAAAAAATCACCTGGCTATCACTTGTCCAACGGTTTTTTCAATAGGTGTCCAAGGACTTTTGAGTCACCCTGTATGAATGCGTTCACATGCCGCAAATGCATAAATAAGGCGATGACCTTAAATTCTATTTACCGATCTTCTATTTATTCCAAATTCTATTTACCGGAGTGGCTCTATGTCAGCGGATCCATTATCTGGGGTACGCTCAGTGGCGTAGCGTGTTGGCTTGGGCCTTGGTGCAAGGAATGAAACGGGGCCCACTCCAATTTCTTACTATTAAATTATGTGGAAGTCATATTTTGTTTGCTAGATTTTCTCACGCAGCATCGTTGGTTACTGAAATCAGTGTGGAAGGCAGTGGCGGATACAGGAATTTTTCATAGGGAAACAGGACCTGTTTCCTAATTCCCAGTCCCCCCCCCCCCCACCCCCTCATCTACCACCACCCAACGTCTTATCGCCTTATTCATTTTTCGTCTGGGGTAAAAACCCTGAATATCTATTTCACAGGAACTAATAAACATTAATTGATGTACTTCCTAAATAAATAAAAACAGACTGGGAACTTGGCCAGAGGAGGGGCAGTCCCCTCCCTCCTCTCCTGGATCCGCCACCAGTGAAAGGGTGAATGCAGGGCCGGATCAAGAAGTTGTGAGGCGAGGGGCAAGTGTCCAGGCGAGGGGCAAGTCTTGGTCCGTCCCCCCCCCCCTTCCCCTGATACTTTAAGTGTTTAATTTCCTTCGAGGGCCCCATGGAAAAGTGGGACCCGGGGCAACACCCCCCTTTACCCCCCCTTAATCCGGCCCTTGGTGTATGGTATTGGAAGTGGCCACCACTTCATTTAAACACACGAAGCGGCGTCTCAGTTGCGAGATGTCTCTGTGCAGTGTGGCGTTGAACTCCTTTGATTCCTTCTGACCTTCCTTTTCGGCTGCTGGCTCTCACCTCGTCCCAATGCCAAGGGGCTCCCAACTAACACCCCCATCCCTCCCTCTTCGTAGCTCGGCGTCTGGGCCCCTCTGGCCCGTGGGCCCGGTGCAGTCGCACCGCCTGCACATTCGGTAGTTACGCCACTGGGTACGCTTGCAAAAGGATCAGATTCATAGCGAGTACATTGGCACAAACTCTCACCGGAAACTTTTTCCCGCCATCATCCCCAAGCTATCGCAAAGCAAATCCCAAGGACATCATCCTGGGGATGATTTCCTTGGGATATGCTTTGAGGATATATTCCTTGGGGGTGATATGATGGTGATCATCCCCAAACAAAAGGGAAGTGATAGTGGGAAAAGCAAGCAGGCAAAAGGCTTGCTTTGAAAAAGAACGTTAGTCGGCGCCAACATTCCTGATGTGGAACCAATCACGTTTCACCTTTTTGCAATTTCAAGAAAAACTATTTCCTACAAGAAGCATTCAGGAGTAGAGGAAAAGCTCCCAATATTCTCCCATGAATATACCCTGTATTTCTCCAACAGAGCAAATAGAGAAGTAGCGATAGGATAACATCTCATTTTCAATAAGGTTACAAATAGTTTGAAATCCAGACAGTACGGGTCTAATTCCAGCATAATTCTAATTTTGTATGCTACTTAGTTAGATTTTGAAGGCTTTTGATGCTACGTGATTAAACTCGGTGTGTTTTTGACGCTACGTGTTTCCGATCCTATACGTTTTTAACTTAACAACAGACAGTTTTTTTTTTTACTACTACATGATGTGAGTCTACATGGAGATTCGGTGCTCCGTGGTGTCTATGCTTCACTAATTTTTTTTTTCAAGAACTGAGCTAGTTTTCGGTCCTCTGTGTTTTTGGTATTATGAATTTTAATGCTACGTGGCATTTACCTTCGCACAGAGACGGGCGGGAGTTCCCATTATCCGCGTTAGTGGAAATGCATTCTGTCACTCATTTGGCAAATGGGAAATTTCCTACTCAATTAAAAGCATGGAAAAAATCTGGCGTTTGTAGGGTGCTACATTCCTCTGGCATGTTTCCAACTTTCTCTTCCTTCCTAACACCACAAGTAAAAATACATTTAAAAAATTGGCATAAGAAAATAATGGAAAAGATTTTATCTATTCTCCCCAGAAAGAAGCAAGGGAGCGTGCTTCTTCAAGTAATCAAATGAACGAGCAAGAGGTCCATCGGTTTCATCTATGTTTCTAAGGGACTACCAATGGTTTGAAGGTAGCCAGTAGATGTCGCCCAATTCCAGCAAGTTCTATTTTTATTTATTTTTGTTGGTGCTATGCGATTCGAGGCTTAGCTCCAATTTCCTTGCTTTGAAGCCCATCTCCTACTTGGGGAGAACTCGGACATGTTATCGCATTTTCCATTGATTTTTTATTATTGATTTGCAGCATGTAAATTAACTTCCTGTCGGTTTTCATAGAAAGCCAGAGATCAAAATAAGCATAGATTTTTCTAATCGAAAATATAAAAAAGTAAAATAAAACACAAAACTCATTTTATTTATTTATTTCTCACTTCCACGATTCGATTTTATCTGAATCTGAATATTAAAGTATTTGGTTCCACACCGAAATTTACCTGTTGATGAACTGTACGTGTGCTGATGTGCCGATGAACTGCACTACTACAGTAGTGCAGTTCATCGGCACAGTGGTTGTCATTGTCTTCAGACCTTTCTTCTTCGCCCTCAGTCATTCCGTTGCTGCGACAGTGATAAATCGATTTTGAATATTTATCATTAAAATGTCTTTTCTAGACAAGGTTTTAAAAAAATCACAATCGAGGGGCAATGAACGATGATTAAATTTCTTGCTGTACGCGGAGAAAAACCCGTTGACATTCATCGCCAGCTGAGGGAAGTGCGTTGTGGTGATTGCCTTGCTGACAACACCGTTTTTACGCAAGCGGGTGCGCGAATTTGCTGGCTGCAGAGAATCCACCGAAGATGCAGACGGACGAAAGCGGCAGGGTTGTGGAAACTTCGGTGACGGAAAACAGACTGTTGAAATTGCCTCAAAGCTGGGATTGTCTCATGACGCAGTCGTGTGAATTTTGTCTGATGCACATGAGAAAAGTCCTTGCTCGATGAGTGTCACGTATGCTTGACGCGAACTAAAAGCATGTCGTTTGGACATTGTTCGTTCCGTGCTGACACGCAGGGCTGCCCAGAGGTGGGGGGGGGGGGGGGCAATTGGAGCAATCTACCCCGAGCCCCACGTATCAAGGGGTACTAAGGGGGGGCCCCTAAGGAGTCTCCGGTTTAGTTTTGTCCTGGGCCCCTGGAAACCTCTGGGCGGCCCTGCTGACACGAAGACATTAAAGTCTTATTTTTAACGTCCAAATTCAAATTTAATATAATGCAATAAACATCTATTCTTGCAGCGTAAACCTTTTTATTTTATATATCCTGTACCTTGTACGTCTAGCAATTTTTCATTTGACTCGGACACTGGTGCTTGGGTAGTTAGTTCCTCATGCATGAATGTCGAAATCAAGGAAAAACATTGCAATTACATCATTGGTTCTCAACAAGACATATTTTAAAGAAAAAATTAGAACTGCACAAATGATTATAACTCCTCTGTAGGAATGGTTAGTACAGCGTCCCCCCCTCCCCAGGCGGGACGCGAAAATTTGGGAAGAAAAATTAGATTTAGCACCATTGTAAGTCACACCTTTGCTTCAAAATGTAATTCTGCTTTGAACTGTACAAATTCCAATTCAGAACTGCACATATCGGTTGCAACAGTACATTAAAATATGCTCTGGTTCTCATCTTTTTAACATGCGGACTCCTCGCAGAACCGCGTGGAACGACGCGTAAACTTTAAGCTCCTAAAAACTGATGCCTTACTTCGAAGGCAATATTTTCAAGTCAGCTAAAAGATAAACAATATTTTCATCTTTATTTTTCGTCTTTTCCGATATTTATTTTTGGTTTTTGTAAAGTTTTGAGGGATTTCGGTTGAGAAACACTGATTTAAAAGGATGGATGATGGAGGATCTCAAGATTAGCCAATCGAATATGGCGCTCTGCAGCTGCTGCACTGACCACGGTTACCTCTTCCAACCATGATCCTATTTTCCTCACGTTGATGTTTGCCGCCGTTCATGGGTTGCGGTAATCGTTCACCGGGTTCAACCCCGTCCCCTTATCTCCTTCGACCTAAGTTAGCATAGGTAATTGACCAAACTTCAGAATTTATTATTTGTTGACTTACGCTTCAGAGGCTAGGTCTATAGTCTATATAATATAAACTCTTGGCCTTGACAGGGATGTGAATTTCAGGCCAACAATGTCTGTGTCAGAAAAGTCCTCTGCAGCTCCAAATCCAGTTGAGCAGTTTGTTCTGTTGGCGAAAGGAGCTAAAGGAGCTGCCGCGGTGGAACTCGTCAAACAGGCAATTGAGGCTCCAGGGGTTTATGTCTTCGGTGAGCTCCTCGACATGCCCAATATTAAGGAGGTAAGAGTAAAAAACATGAATTAATTACCTTTAGTTCCATGTGGTAAGGATAAGATATGCCTAGATTATTATGTGAGTTTTTTTATTATACACTAATAGTTACAATAGAGCAGAATTCATACCAACGTAATCTATTTAGTCTTTGAGACATTCTATTTGGAGATATTTTGTAAGCCCTCAGGGAATGAGGTCTAGACTGATTTGTTCTTAGCATGGAGGACATGTTTGAGCAAACATGTCAGTCCAGGAAGGCTATGCCCCAGTGATTTAAACATAGGCCTATTACACTGTTTTCAAATTTTAATGGAACCCCCCCCCCCCCCCCATAGGAGTACTTCCATTGAATCCAGGTAGTGACATCTTCCATGTGGGTGGTTCTGTGCCCACACTATATTCAAAGCTTTCTGTCATGATTCTCTCAATATGCATTGTTTATGCACATGTGGGAGCTTTTGTGATATGATGGACTATTGCATTTGGTACATATCCTCTCATTCACTGCAGCTGGCTCAAGGCCCACATAATGGATCATGGGAACTGCTGAATCTGTTTGCTTATGGAACTTATAAGGACTACAGGGCCAATCAAGATTCTCTCCCTCCAGTCACTCCAACTATGCTGCAGAAATTATGTCACCTTACAATTGTTTCTCTAGCTACCAAGTCAAAGGTGAGTGTCTGAGTAAGCCTACATAAAAATTTTGTACACAATTCAAACCAAACCTGATGTCTCAGTGATACAATTTAAAATAAATATTTATTTGGACAAAGATGCCTTCAGATGATGGCATGGGGTTTACCTTTTCATGCCTGAAGAATGTTGTAAGCAAGGGGAGAATATGCTATCCAGTTTTGTGCATTCAAGAAGGCTCAGGAATCTTGAATGCTTTCCAAAAAGGTAAAAATTTCAATAGTCATTCAACTTCATCAGTTCTTCCAGCAATGAAATTCTTTTTTTTCATAAATACAAACCACAATACATATGGAACCATATACATGCTGTGGTACTAAATGGAACTTTTAGGCAAGAAAGAGATTCCAGATCTATTAAATATTTTTTAAAAGTTATTTCACATACTTCTGGAATGAAATCTTTTTAGAAAGTCTATTCAAGCTGAGAAAAAAGATGAAGTTTTGTCCTTCATAACAGTTCTTACTCCATTTCTTTTCCCTTGTCCATTCAAAAGTGATTTTGAAGGTTCAGTATTCCAATTTTTAAAAACAATATTTTAGGATGTTGGACATTGACATGGACACAATTGCCACAGGCTTAGCTTTGGAGGACTGTGAGATTGATATGACTCTTTGAATCTTGGAACTAGTTGCAGATCTTTTTCTTTATAGGTACTGCCCTATGAAATGCTCTTGGAGGAACTGGAGATGAAGAACCTTCGGGAACTTGAAGATGTCATAATTGAAGCAATATATGCAGGTGAGCTCTCAGGTTTGACACCATTTAGAGATGAATTCTTTTAAAATTTAGTTCCCAGTGAACTGAAATTGCTGCTTTCACCTTCTAAAGAGTCCAATGCTGTTTGTATACATTGGATTGTGTTGAGGTTCTTCCAAGATGGGAAAGAGAAGGGCAGTTGGACTAATACCTGGAATAAAGAATGTTGTCCTTCCAATTCTTTTGCATAATATGAACATGAACTGGTTTATGCCTTTTTTTACTGTTCCCTCCAAGATGTCATTAATGGAAAGTTGGATCAGCGGAATCACCAGCTGGAAATCCATCGTGCTATTGGCAGAGACATTCGCCCTGAGGACATCAAGGAGATTGCCTCCACTCTCCAGGACTGGTGTGAAACATGCGAGAACATGCTTTATAATGTTGACAGCATGATTTCCATGGCCAACCAGGAGCGGGAAAAGCACATTAAACATCGCAACTTTGTTGAAACACAGGTGAGAATTGAGAAGCCTCATTAGATCATGCAGCCAGTGCTCTCTACTTCTGTTAAAAGCAGGGTTCAATATAATTCTTTTTCTTGAAAGTCTCTAATGCTCTGACTTTCCTTGTCCATATTGGTGTCATGGAAAAACAAGTGAACATTATAATGTGATTATTTGTTCTCTGTTATTTGTCATTTCCCTCCTAATCTGCACAAAGTTGGGATTCTGTGATCATCACAACCTTTGTTATGGACCTGGTTGAAGTCTAGCCTCTGATGGTTTCTAGTCATCTTTCAAATTGATCAAATGTCACTCCACTTCATCAAAGTAAAAACCTCCTTATTCTATTTTATTAATGATCTGAACATTATTAATGTAAAGGCATGAATGTGCTAGTCCAGTTTCCTGATTGAAAATGCATGGTCTGAAGTGGCAGTGCACATAATGCCTATGTTACTCATGTCAACCATGAGTTATCTGGTCTTTTTCTCCTTTCCCATCCATTGTTCATGTTCCTTGTTTCATGTCAGCATGTTCACTGATGGCTCTGAGAGACCTAATGTAGTAATTTTTATCATATGAAATGAGGTATTTACAACTACTGTGTGCAACAGATGATGAAGACCCATGCTTCTAAAATATGACATTCCTGAGTTGTCATTTCTGCAAGAAAAAAACTGTAGAATCAGAGAGTATCAAGTAGTTTGACAATTTCAACAAACTGAAATATTCTAGTGACAACATTCCAAGAGTGCTTGTGAAAGTGAATCAATGTTTTGCTCCAGCAAGTGGAGATTTGCTAAAACTTCAAATTCCAGGGAACACACTGATATGTCAGAGATATAGGTATCCAGTTGAAAAGTTGTAATAATCTTAAATCCAGTATTTTTCAAAGAATGCTCTGAATGTATAACTCATCTTACATATACCTATACCACACCTTGAACAACTTGGTGCAGCCTCTATATACAGTATTTGTCTTTTTTTTCGTGTCATATATACCTCATACCTTTGGTAGGCATTATCTGTGAAACATTGGTTTTCCCTATGTGATGCATTCCCCAAATTTCTACCTCCCCCCCCCCCCCTGCCTACCACCATTCCTTGTCCTTTCGCCTTTTTCATTTTTTGTCTGGGGGAAGAACTTGAGTATCTATTTCATTGGCTCCAATAAAATTTAATGCAGATGCTATTTTGAATAAATAAATCAAATGCTAACCTGCCCATGGGGGGGCAGTTGCCCCCCGCCGCCCCTGTATTTGCCCCTGATGTCATGTCATGGGTAACATGTTAACCTTTACACGCTGAGCATTTCCATATTAAAAAAGAGGATGTAAGTGGAAAAATGTGAATTTTGCCTTATTTGAAGAGCATGGAATCTTCCTTTCTACACCTATAAAAGGAAGATTCCATGCTGTTCAAATATTGCAACATTCTGCATGTAAAGGTTAATTTTGCAAATATTAATGTTCTATTAATTTACTTAGATATTATTATTAGGGCTTTACTGACACAAGAATTTGGCCCATTTGCCAATGACTGATACTGATACCAATACCAATCTTTGTGCATGTCTATGGGATAGGTCTTTTTTGCTGAGTTAGTGTAATCAAGATGACATTAACCCTTTTGTGGGAAAATTTTTTCCAATATGTAAATGACAAATTTCAGTGCATTTTCTTTTCCAACTTATGGAGGTTTTTATTTTGAGAAATTCCAGTTTTTCCCCCCATGCAAGAAGTTTTCATATTTGTGATGGGAACCTTTCCTGATCTATTATGGTTACCAGTAGATGATGTGAGTGTGAAAGAGTGGGAGGAAGCCCTCCCAGGGCTCCGGGATCAAACATTTTCTGGGAAGAATTCTTTCCACTGCCCATGAAAGAGTTAACTCGAATTAGGTGTGTCAGATTTACATTGAACATGAAGTGAAAAACCTTTACAATGACCCATTTTTATATTAAAATCATGAGTTTTTCCAAAGTCACAAATAGGATACCACAGGAAAATTAGCCATAAATATCAGATTATGTTTTCACAAAATGTGTAAGGAAGAGGTTTATATCACTTCTGGTTTGGGGCATTTGTTTGAATCTATGTAACAGTACTGCTCCAGTATTCCATATGACTACATTAGAAAAAGAGAAGAAAACAGACATAGACTAGGACAGGCCATACATTCGGCATGGGCTGATCATGCTGCACACGCTGCTGCTGAATAAGTATTGCAATTGATTTGGCTAAAAATGTGATAATGTACTCTTGTATTTGGATGTAGATTCAGAATCTGAAGAAGACAATGAAGACTCAACGGGAAGATAGTGGTGAGAATGGGGTGACGGACACTGTGACCCCTGGTGAGAAAAAGAAGCCTTCCAGCTCTACTGGGTCCAGTATGTCCAATTTCAAGAGCAAGATGGTTCGGGGCAGCAATCGGCTCTTCAACAAGTGATGCTCTCCAGTCAAGTGGATTGAGTTGTCATTGTGTGTGTTTTTACCACATGCCTTCTTCACAATGGTGGTTTCATCTCTTTCATGAACTAGTATCCTCCATCATGTGATCACTTGGCTTTCAGGAATAAAGTTGAGCTGTAGGTGATCCTGTCATTCTAGGCAGTTTTGTCATTGAAGCTAAAAATGATTAATTTTTACTTTTGGAGCACAGAAGTACAGAATCCACCTTGAATCATAATTGAAGGACCTTTGTTTTTACCCTTAAATTGAGAGAAGCCTGTCTTGCTGAGTGAAGAGTAGAGATTGCTCATTCCCTGCCATGATCTGAGTGTTGGGTGTCCCAGAATTCATGCCTCATTTCCATTATCTTTATTTATATATTGGGTTGTAACATATATTCCCACCGTTTTTATATTTTGTTTTGACTCCATATTTTTGAAGTTTGGCAAAGTGGATATAGTCATTCGAAAGAGCGTTCTTTCCTCTACAAACTTATTGCCACCATTTTTCAGAATAACTTAATTTTACTTAACTTTCAGGTATTTGAAATGGAAATACCAGGCGGCAAGAAAACCCATTTTCGACACTTGCTTTATTTCGCGTTTCGCCGTAATCAAAAAGCAGCCGAAGCAGCTCGGGATATTTGTGCCGTTTACAGAGAGGGTGCTATAGCTGCGAGGACTGCTCGAGATTGGTTTGCCAAGTTCAAAAATGGCAACTTCGACCTGGACGACACGCCTCGCTCTGGGCGACCAATCGGAAACTGACCGACCGGAAACAACAAAGAAAATCGCCTTCAAATTGCTGCTCAACATCTCGCCCGACACCGAGCAACACACGTTGTTACATGTTGTTTCCGGTAAGCTCGTGTGGCACCCAAGCTCCAAGTTTTTGAGTAAAACCAATTGATTGAAGGTGACGGGATATCGTCATTGCATTGCTGTTCATCTTCTCGGCCAATTCTCTGCATGTTTGGCGACCGTCCTCCTTCAAAAGCACCTTCAAATGGTCTTCGTCGAACTCGGTAGGTCGCCCAGAGCGAGGCGTGTCGTCCAGGTCGAAGTTGCCATTTTTGAACTTGGCAAACCAATCTCGAGCAGTCCTCGCAGCTATAGCACCCTCTCCGTAAACGGCACAAATATCCCGAGCTGCTTCGGCTGCTTTTTGATTACGGCGAAACGCGAAATAAAGCAAGTGTCGAAAATGGGTTTTCTTGCCGCCTGGTATTTCCATTTCAAATACCTGAAAGTTAAGTAAAATTAAGTTATTCGGAAAAATGGTGGCAATAAGTTTGTAGAGGAAAGAACGCTCTTTCGAATGACTATATCCACTTTGCCAAACTTAAAAAATATGGAGTGAAAACAAACAAAACATAAAAACAGCAGGAATATATGTTACAACCCAATATTTCACAGAAGCTAAGGTATAGAGCATCTTTGCAACAAAAACACCTGATGCCTTTCAGATTATCTGTCAATGAAAAAAGCATGAATTATCAATGTCATGAACTAATTGAGAATCCTTTTCACTAACTAAAAATTGTAAATGTGACAGATTCTGGGACACCCTGTAGTTCCCCCCTTGATTGGATATTTTCATGAAACTTGCCTTGTGGCAATTTCTGTACAGTGCATGCTAGCCAAAGGTAGGGTAAACTGGTAAAACTTGGAAGGTTGGAGTCATGTGCCCTAGTGTGCATTTGACTCAAAATGTCTGGTCTTTCTGGAGTTATCACTTTACCAGTATTAGTCTGTCTGAATTCTAGTGAAAAACACCAATATGATTTAATGCTTTCCTAAGAAGTCACCAATTAACAGTTTTCATATCAGGTGTAGTTCTCAGAGCAGTAGATACAGGTTAACTTTTATTTTGTGACCTGTAGAGAACACTGCATATGTTTCTTGCAATAGGCTAAGTAGCTGCATGCAGTAGCTGCACTGCTCTTTACAGGGTGTCAAATAACTTCTGTCCCTTCATTTTTTTTTTACTCTGTATCAATACCAAAGGTCCAAAATAGACAACAGATTCCCTAATACTAAACAACATGTTAGGTAACTTGTAATCAAAGAGTTATTTTAAATGTCCTCCACATGCTTTCACACAAGCCTTAAGGCGATGGTGTCAATTGAGGACTGCAGCATGCAGTCACTTGAGGAATCTCCTTCTATACTTAAACAAGGGATTGCTCCAGAAACTCACTACTGGTGTGGGCAAGGGCAGACCTTGGCCTCCAAGAGCAACCACACAGAGTAATTACAGGAATTGAGGCCTGGAGATGATGGGGGTCAATCAGTCCACTTGACTAAGTCCAGCACATCGTGCTTCAACCATTGTTGAGTCACATCGGTGAAATGGGCTTGGGTAGAACATTGCTAGAAGCACCACTGTTGATGGTTGATGACTTTTCTGCCACAATGCTTTACCACGTGCTCTAAAATCAGCTTATGGTAATGATATCTGTCCATTTGACTGGAGGCACAAAGATCAGGTCTGTGTTGCTATTTTCTGAAACCCTTTCCAGACCATCACTCTAGTTGACTTCTACCACCAAGAAACAATTCTCTGCTCAAATGGTGTCTCCACTAAGCTGGTAGCTAGCAGGGAATTGTTTTGGGTGTCAAAGGCCTGCTGTGTCATAAAGATTCTCTCATTGAGAGGAGGATGTGCTCCACATCTTGCTCTGTGAACCATTCCAACAGCCTTCTGCTTTGGTTGAGTCTCTTTTGTTTGGTAGCTGCTGTCAGTCTGAGCATTGGATTCTTTTTAGGGACACATACAAAGTTCCTTTGTGACCAGCAGCTGCTTTGAATTCCAATTGATCATGGCTGACAACTTCCTCATGGATTGTTTTTGAATCCACATCAGGGCATATTTTATTATGCAGTTGTAACAGATATGTGCAGTTCTGAATTGGAATTAATGCAATTCAAAACTGAGCATGAATTAAATTTTGAAACAAAAATAAACTTAGTTCAGAAACAGTGCATTGTAAATATTTAAATGATGGCATATTAACATTATAAGGAGAAAATCATTTTAAAGAATTAGTTTGGATAGCAATACATTTTAGTTGCAAATAAAATTTTTATTTTGTTACTGAACAGAAAAAAAGGATTTTTGAGGAATCTTAAAAAATATTGTTGCCAGTTTATAGCCTTGTTGGTTGCAATTTAGCTCTTTCTATTTCTTTCCTATCTCCTTTTGTTTGTAGCATTATAATTGGTATTTGTAATGCTAAAAAAACACCTAAGCCATTTTTTTTTGCATTGGAATTTGCACACTCTGAAGTAAAATTTGGGAAACTATTGGCAAACCACATAATTGTAAAAAAAATTGTGTGAAGTCAATCCCATAAAGACTCAATTATTGTGAACTGAAATTAGTTATTTATTATCTGAAATTAGTGCATTAACCTATTTATATTTATCACAGCATTCCTAACTTTAAATGGTACTAAATTAATTTTTCTTCCCAAATGTTTGTGTTCTCTGCACCTTAGTGCTATACCAACCACTTATACAGAGGGGTTATAATTGTTGATGCAGTTATGATTTTCGTACAATATGCCCTGTGCCTCATTGACTCTTCACTTTCTTTTTTAGTGTTGGTGTCCATGTGAGGATGGCTACTTCATGGTTGGTCAACTGTGCTCCTAGTCTCAGCAAAGCATTTGACAGTCTGACTAACAAACTTTTGTGAGAATTCTTGGGTTCCCAGCATCCTCAAGATGTTAACTTAGGAGTAGCCCTGTTTAAGCAAAGCCACAACTGCATTTCATCGTTCTGCCAAAGTTAGTGCCACGAGTGCCTAAGATTAACCAAGGAAGGAAATGACAAAGGCTTCTCAACACTCTACTTATATGTACAGGTTAGCATTAGAAGTGCTTACTTGAGAACTACCCACTTTTGAAAATAAGGACCTAACTTATTTGTCACTCTGTATATAAATAGCCATTTTCCATTCAAATTTTTAAAAAGAAGAGACTAAAAATCACTAATTGTAAACTAAAGTTACAGTTACAATTTTGAGGCATTCTACCCTCTTCTATTTAAGAGTGAAGTAGAAGGTAAGTTTTATCGTGTCACATGAGGTTGATTGACCCAACTTACTCTAGAAGAATTCAGCTGTGGGCTCTTCCAGTCAAGTTAATATCTCAGCAAGCCATGGCAAGTTATAGTATCCCTGCATTATGCTAACAAAGAAGAAATATATATTTAAAACTCTTCCATGAACCTCAGGCCTACTAAAGAGTTGCCAGTGCAGTGCATCAGAAATACTTGACTAAACCTTGTAATCCCACTGCCTGGAATGCAATAATGAAGCTGGGAAACCTATTGTAAATTTTCCACTCTTCTGAGTAGTTCATGAGGGCTTTAAGTCACAAGTACAAAAAATTTTTCTTACTGAAAATGGAAAGTATTTCTTCTGTAATAGCAAAAGCCTCTCTTCCTCCAAATAGCCCATTTGAATGTTGTTCATGCAAAGTAAGAGATATCCCAGAAAGGCATACTGTAAGATTCATATAAGAATTCACCATTACTGTTTGACAGAAGTACATGCTAATTTGTGTTTCATGTACACTCATCATATCTATTCTTAATTCCATCGAAATCCATTCTCTTGTAATTCTATCCTTCCTACCAGGATAGAAGGAAATTGGATAGAACCTGGAGTCAGAAAGAAAATATATTTGCACATTTGATAAACTAGATCAAAGGGAAAGTAATCAGGATGAAAATGTTGAAATCTTAATTTATGAAAGTTGACTGAAGTGATTTCCATCATTCAGCCTGGACATTGTGGATCACAAATCGGATGATGTATGCAAATAGGGCAACACTAGCAAACACTGCCATGTTGGCTAATGCACTATAGAATGGGGATTGAGGGCCAGCAACACTGGGGTTCTGGATATTGACATCAGGTGATCCTGCACCTTGTCGTGAAGTAGTTCTTCCTGTCTCGGCATGCTTGCGCTTCTGTAGCTCTTCCCTTATATCCTTCATGAAAAATCAAGCACTAAGTCAGGATCAGGTCTGCCTTTAACAAGATTTTTTGCTTTTTTACAAAAAAAGGAGCTCACCTTGACAATAGAAGGAAAGAGTTCTATGAATGTTTCATCATTGAGATTGTGCTCCAGGCTCTGCTGTGAAAACACTCGTTTGTCCCAGTTGGATGTCACAATGCTTCCATATGTTTGACTGTTCTCTTCCAACTGAAAGATCAGACTCTCTCAAGGAAAAGAATTCTTTGAAATTACAAAAAAATTACTATTCAGTAATTGCTCTTAAAATTTACATATCAAGAAGAGTGACATAACAGCTATAAATAGAAATGTGAATACATTCCATTAATGACTAAATACTTGAGAATATGTCAACTTCATTAGCTTTAAGAACTTGGGCAAGTAATAAGTAATCAGGGGATCCTGCATGAGTCTGGCTAATATAGGGTCTTTCACAACCTATATAAGCAAGTGGTGGTATGCATTTAACTAGAATATATACACATCAGCTATTGTAATATTTTCATTTCAGGAATTTCAGGGAAATTCCACAGAACATCACCAAGACAACATCACCCACCATGAAGCTCAGCAGACCAGTCAGGATGGCAGAGGCATTCCAAGCAGGATTCCATGTGTCTGGGTGGAAATCAGAAATAGATAAACATAGTCGTGTGTGTGTCTTGAATCTCCCATTTGGTGTGTGCATGTAGATGCTTGGGGGTTTGAAGGGGAAGTCTGGTGGAAAGACGAGGCGCCCATGATAGTAGCCTCCTTCATATGGGGAGTTTTCTGGACCACGAATCACATAATGCCTATGGGAAAAAAATGCAAAAAAAGAGGAGCTAGCTTTGTGTACTCCTTGGAAGTGAAATAGATCTATGCTGAATATGGAGGACAGGCCATTCAAAGATGTTGTAAGGAAGAGGCTCAGCAACGATGTATGGAACAGGATCTTTCTTCATGCGGATGTAGTCACTCTGAAGCCGAGACACTGCACTGCCTTTACTCTTGTTCCGACTCATCTTGTCCCTATCAAACTGCTACACTTTCAAATCAGGCATATACAATCACAGGCTTGTTGTCTGTGTTTTCACACCAATAGGCCAATGACAAAAAGTCATCATATACTTCCTGATGGCATTCACAAATAACCCATGGTTCTTAAATACAAAGAATTTCCTTTGAAACAATAGATAATATCTATTCACCCAGTGAATAATAAGTCATAGGTCTGGGTCTAGCATAGCCTACACCAACCATAATTTCTATTTTTCTAATGGAGTGGACAAAATGGTGCATTTTTCAGATCACAGTGAAGAGCACTAAAAAAGCATGCCCACAATATAAACAAACAAGTATTATAATAGTTCTAAAAGGAAATAAAAATAAAAGAAAAACTATGGCAAAAAACTTAAACCTAGATCTAGCCTAGTCTGTGACTAGACAGACAAGGACAACAATGAAATCAGTATCATTCATATGAAGATAAGCAAAGAAAATGAACTATAAACAGGGTTGGATTAGGAAGTTGCGAGGCCTGGGGCAAGTGGATTCTTGAGGCTCCCCCCCTGAAAGAGTGGGGCCCGGCACAATAGCCTACTTCCCCCCCCCCCCTTAATCTGGCCCTGACTGTAAACCTGCCAGAATAGTTTCTAGTACTACTCTGAAAGTCTTGGTAAACAGGGTGATAATAAATTTCTGATGAATTTTTGTTGGCTCCTTAGGCTAATACTTGGCAGGACAGGGTAATGGCTACCAGAAAGGAAACTCGTAACCATCCTTGCCCATACATTACTTAATTCATTTATTGTGTCATGTACTATTATTACAGGAACAAATTAAATTAATGTGCATTTCATAAATACCCCATACAATGGAGGCAAACTCTAGTCATTGAACACTTTTAGTCCCAGGGATTTGAATGTACTATGGCTTATACCCGTCATACAGGGTTGGCCAAAAAACATATTTGATTTGAAAATGATATAACAGGATAACCATACAAGATAGGATTGAATAATAAAATGCATTAAGCAGGCAAAAATAAAAATTTATTTTACTAATTAACCCTTTCTTCTACTACAGGTTCAAAATGCCTCAATTAAATTTACTACCAAGAATCTTTATCATATATGAGCATATCAAAACTCAATTATTAATAGTGACACAGCATGCATTCAGAAAGGAATTTCCAGGACTCACATCCTGGAAACTCCTTTCTGAATGTATGCTGTTTACTATTACTTATTGAGTTTTGATATGCAGCTCAAGGATGATTTTTTGTTTTAAATTTAATTCAGGCATTTTGAACCAGCAACAGAAAAAAGAAATTATTTGGTAAAAATGTTGGCTTTTGCCTACTTAATGCATTTTATTATTTAATCCTATATTTTATGGTTATCTTATGATTTCATTTTGAAATTGGGTACATTTTTTTGGCCCACCCTGTATAATGGACATGGGACTGAAAGTGTTATTAGGGTAGGGGTTGGGAACCTATGGCTCATGAGCCAAATTTGGCTCACAAGCCAAAAAGCTTGGCTCATTAGTCATGACTATAGGTCCCAATATGAAGCAAGTCCTTGCTTACAAGGAGCAAGTGAGGGAGTACATGAAGCAAGTAGACTCTAGCAAGGACTTTTCTGTCTTTTCTTTCTTCAGAGTATTCAAACATCTATGAAACAAAGTTGAAAATAACAAAAATTCACACCTACTATAGATGCCAGAGAGATCTTCTGTGGGTCATTGTCTTTGTATTCCTACAGACCTTGACATAGGTCTGGTCTCTGTATACCCATAGACTATGATTTAGGCATAATTTTGTGTGACATGGCACCACAACTCTCCATTGAAACCACAGAGGCCCTTATTACCGACATCCGTGATCAACCTTGTCTCTGGACTGTTATGATGCATGAGTACCATGACCACTCCATCAGGGATCAGGTAAAGAAGCCATGATGATATGCAGATTATGAGTGCAATATCTCTCCCATGACATGACTTCGAACGCACAGTGGCCATTTTGGACAAATTATTGTTTTCATTAGGAAACAAAGACCAAAGGGCCCATCTTCTAAAAAGCACACGGGATGCCATGAGCCTCACCCCAATCAATTCCTACAAGGTCTTCCCGAACAATCAGAGCGTGACTTGCTTACAAGCCTTATAGGATTTTGAACCAAGGGGGAAGTGGAAGCAAGCGCTTGCCAGGAATTGCAATAGTGAAGCAAGTGGCATGTACACAAGGTAAGTATCTTGGCAAGTGCTTGCTAGCAAGAACTTGCCTTGTGTATCAGGGCCTTAAAAGTCATAGTTGTTACTCATTTTTCTCATGTATCAAGGATCAGTCTATTGTCAACTTCATGAAAAATTCTGTTGCTTTGAAAATCTTTGGCCCAATCTTAATATGACTCACATGGCCAAAAAGGATCCCAACCCCTGCTATAGGGCCTTAGGGATTAGGAGGATAAGTTTGAGAGGCTCTATCAATAGGAATATTAAGTTGGGCAATTTTGTCCTTTTTGACACCATACGTTATATTCAATGTTTGCTATTATTAATGGACATATATTCACTCAAAGATATGGAGCTTTGTTTGGTTGCTAGAAAATAGATATTTCAAACAGAAGATAGGCAACTTTTGTTTATTTTCCATGGAAAACATTACTTCTGAAGAGCATGATAGGGATTTTAGCCAAGTGATTATGAGTATATGATGCAGTCCACCATGCATTCTGGCTTCTTGTAGGAAGAAAATCTGTCAAATGTTTTGGGATTGAATTAGTACCCTCCCATAGGAGTACATCCATCTATTGCAGGTAGTGATACCCTTTGCAAGGGGGATCCTTATTATCTTCAACAGGGGAGGGATGTGACAGAAACTAGTGAGGACAAACAGGTGGCCGCCTTATAATCTGGCTTTGCAACAATTTCAGTCGAGAAGGATCAAGGGTCAACTCCTTTCCGCAAATTTCTTGTTGCCATTTTTACTATCATCCCTCTAGCCTTTTGGCCACTCAGCATCCAGGTTTGCCATGATATGGAATGACTTAAGAAACATGAAACTCAACTTGGAGAGCAAAAGGAGGGAGAGACAGAGGTTAGTGAAAGTGTTCCAGACTTCGCTGCTGTTGCCATCAAGCACCAGGTTAGGGTCCCATTGTAATCAGAATCTTGCTATTTCTACTTGGTTGGAGCCAAGGGGACTAAGTGCTGGTTGGAATCAGGCTTAGGTGGACCTGGTTGGGGCCAGATTCCATGAGTCCTTGCAAACTGTGCTGCATTGCGGGTGAGCTAAATCTTCTTGTTCTTTTGAAGGTTTCCTCACTAACCTCTCCTGAGCAGAAGCAGTTTCATTCGTTAAGCTGTTGAGTTGTGCTGTGAGATACTGACGATCTTCTGTTAAATCGATGATTTAGAACTCACGTGTTTTGTAAATTGTATATTGAATAAATAACGTCTGTGTAGGAATCCTTGGCTAACGGCTACTGATTCCGTCCTGACCAATGCGAACCTTCTCAAGAGGAGCACGTTCAAACATCCTATTTGTGACGGTCAGGGTAGATGTCGAGGTATCACGGCGTACGTGTAGTACTACCGGCCACGCCCGACGACAGCATGTTACACCAATACCATAAGCCAATTATAGCCGAGGCCTCTTAAATCGGTTCTAGGCCCATATATATGTAATCTAGTAAGCTTTTTAGGCCTGATAACCCATCTTCACTCGATGCAAAAGCGGAGACCCACGCCAACGCAATGGAAATAGGACATACGCATACCCCACAATGCCAACAAGTATGGAAGCCACCATGATCATAGCAACCAGGAGACGTCATCTATGTCGTCTGTCTCAAGGTCTGTAATCAGTCCCAAGATGCTGTTTTCCATTTCATTCATTCCCACCCTGGTACTAGATCCAGAGGATCCGCTTCCTCAGATAACTCGCGAAACTATCCATCTGAAAGATGTCACAGCTTGCAATTGATGGATACTATAGAAAGATACACATTCAATTCGAAAACTGCCACGTCCTTCAGATCAGTGGTTCTCAACCTTTTTTGTGTCACGACCCATCGAGCCCTCTTCCCATATTTATGCGACCCACAAATTTAGAAGCATCCAAAAATAATGCAATCGTGTGACGCGCAAAAAAAAAAATTAAAAAATTAGAAGTGATGCTTTCAATATATTGCTCTGGGCACGGATAATTCCTTACATTATTATTACATTATTCCTTTCCATACATTATTATTACATTATTCCTTTCCATACATTATTCCATACATTATTCCTTTCGAGGTTCCTTACCTCTTCGAGCTTTCTTTGTAATGAACTCGGCTGGTTCATTCAGGAAGAGGGAAAACTCGGGCCCTTGTAATCGTCGGTGACTCGAACGTCAGGCGTCT